TCTAGAAAGCACAATGTAGCAGTACTTGTGCCACATGTGCAGCATTTTATTTTGAACATCCAACTTGTTTTCCAACAAATATAGTGTCACTTCGAGAAAACATGTATGTTCTTCAAAGTAATGGCTACAATTCTGAGGATAGCCTTATTTATTTGAAGAGATACTGCATTTGATTGAAAGATGCCTTCTATGTTGCAGGGGCTTTTTGTGCAACGTGTTTCTCTTCCTTCCAGAAGTATTGTACCTAGTATGTTATGAAATGGGTCTGTGAATTAAGGAATGCATATTTACATGTTGGAAAAACACTACCTAATCGAAATGAAGAGATACGACATATATTTTTAAGAGAAGTGGCTTTCTGCAAAGGAATGCTACCTATAGAAAAGGAATACTCTTTTTGAGGAATGCTACGCCCTTTGAATGAAAGTGTCTGTTTGTAAAGCCTGCTCTTGTCAATTAGAACTGGTTCTTCAAGACAAGGATGCATGTTTGATCGTCTCTTGTAGTCATTTACAGTGTTTTCACTGCCTTTTTCAGGTTTGGGGAAAAGATCCAAAGTTCAATGATCTTTTTCATGTGGGTTGAATCACTACTTAAGGGAAACTTTGCACAGAGGTGGAGGTACTTGGAGGTACGTAAATTATACTTCAGACATAGTTTGGAAGGGGTAAGAACCAAAAGGTCCTAGGACCTCCTAAGACCCACACGTCATCCAAAGTATTGAGCCACTGCAGTAGTGAAACAAGAGACAGAAGCTACATAGTAAGGAAAAAAAACAAAGACATATCTACCATATTTGCAATATTGATCATCAAATAATATGTCTGCAAGATCTGAAAGCGTACAAAATCAGAAAGTTCATGTGTCACAAGAAGGAACAAACACATGGTAAAAATTCATGTAACAACTTAAAAATGACGTTTGGCCAGAGCGCCTTGCGCATTCTGTCCATGTTTGAATTGAAACCCGCCTTTGTTGGGAGCACGATACGGTAGTCGAAAACGCTGCAAATACATAATAAAATATGTCATTGTATCTACACATGAAACACCAAACATCCAAAGTCTTCAAATGAATGAATAAATGCTGGCTGCTTTTGAAGGCAAAACAAGCAAAAAGCACTGTAAAACACAATGAAAAATCGAAACCAGTAGGTTTCAGGGGGGGTTAGCATACATATATATATATTATTCGACAAATAAACAAACAAATCAATCGATGATTAGTTAATTCAGCAAACAAATCAATAACTATATGTATACATATATGCGCCTACCTGAGTCCTCCAAAGTGATGATTTTCTTCGCTTCTTGAATTTCTCACCTCACTGCACTGTTCGATTTTTTTTTCTGGCAAATTTTCACTATTCCGACAATTGACCTTTCTATCCCTATCCCAAAATACATCCTGGCAATCTTTGGTTTTTCCAATGCGGTGTTCACCCGAACTGGACTTGGTATTGCCTCAAACATTTCTCCAAACACTTTAAAGTCTGCGTCAGAGGATGGCAAAACACAAATCATAAATGAGATTGAGAGTATGCCACAACCATGCTGACTCATCAGAAAACAATCAGATCCTTGATTTCCCGAAAGTGAAAAAACACAATTTGCGCACTATTGGGTGGATTTGCGCACTTTTTGCTGGCCACCTGAAAAAAATCAGTTCCCCACCTGCCAGGTGAGGGTTGTTAGATTTTATCAGAGCTGTTGTTGTCCTCCTCCTCCTCCTCCGCCTCCTCCTCCAGTTTCTCCTCGACCATGTTTGCCTCCACTTCCACGTCCACTGTTGCCTTGCCAACTCTTGGCCAAGCTCTTCGCAAACTTCGGAGCTCAGTGCGCACTGCTGGACCTCAACCTGGGACCTTCCCAGCTCAGTGCGCACCGCTGGACCTCAACCTGGGACCTTCCTAGCTCAGTGCGCACCGCTGGACCTCAACCTGGGACCTTCCGAGCTCAGTGCGCACCGCTGGACCTCAACCTGGGACCTTCCGAGCTCAGCGCGCACCGCTGGACCTCAACCTGGGACCTTCCGAGCTCAGTGCGCACCGCTGGACCTCAACGGCCAGATAGAATGCCAGAAGATATGCCAGATAGAATGTCAGATAGAATGCCAGAAGATATGCCAGATAAAATGCCATAAGATATGCCAGATAGAGTGTCAGAAGATATGCCAGATAGTTAGAAGATATGCCAGATAAAATGCCAGAAGACATGCCAGATAGAATGCCAGAAGGTATGCCAGATAGAGTGCCAGAATGTTTGCCAGATAGAATGCCAAAAGATTTGCCAGATAGAATGCCAGATAGGATGTCAGAAGATATGCCAGAAGATATGCCAGATAGAATGCCAGGTAGGATGCCAGAAAAGATGCCAGAACATATGCCAGAAGATATGCCAGTAGAATGCCAGAAGATATGCCAGATAGAATGCCAGAAGATATGTCAGATAGAATGCCAGAAGATTTGCCAGTAACAAAATGTATATTTTAATGTCATGGCGGGGATCACACGAAGTACACTAATTGAAGTACACATGTTTTTTCCTCATGCTTCAGGTTTTCTGGAATATGCCCTGGAGCCAGCCCCAACTCTGGAATTGAAAGGAATTCCCTATGTTGGGCAGGTGCCATGCCAAGTTATCGAATTAATACCTTCATGCCAAGTATCGGAGATGACCAATGATTCATTCAGGCAGAAATGAAGCTGCGCAGATGTTGCCCAAGTCCATGACGCATGTCAACCTGAATTTTTGATGTTTCATGAAATTATCATAGAAACATACTTGGTGTAAGTTGATCTCTTTAAGGATGGGCCGAAATTGAGCCAAAACTGAACTTTTGCAGGTGAAATTGACCCACAACCCAGAGGTAATTCCTGCTCCATCAGGTAGTATTTATTCATTATCTATTCTATATTCTATAATACGCTATACCCTACATCCTGTATCCCGATTATTTGTGCTGCTTGCAAGGCACATATACCATTTTTCCTGTTTTCACTGAGTCCTTGACATGAAAATCGGTTTGATGTAGGCAGACTGGAGTCCGAATGGCCAGAGTGGCTTCGGATACCAAGCAAACTGGGAACCAGAGATGCCCGAAGCTTTCAAGGTGCTCTCTGGTAGGTGACCAAGGTTGCACTCCCACAAAGCACCCCAAACTTCTTGGATGGTCAAAATCACCAAGAACAAGTGTCTTTGATGAGAAAAGGCAGTGTCAGATTTTTTGGGACCTCAGATCCTCAGACATATCAACATCGATTTCGGGATACTTCAGGCAGCGAGGTACTGCAATTGCATTGCATGGGTTCATAGCATTCAGGATTTCGTTGAGAAGGCTCTCGATTGCCGAGCCTGTTGGGACCTCCAAGATTATATCCCAGATTGCAGCACGGCAGAGCTGCTTGTCCTGACACTGCAGATCAAATGAAGGTGGGTGGTTCATGGTTCTTCTTCACGTTTGTTATTCGTTTGTTTGCGGGGAACTTGGGCCAACTTCCATCGCAGTTGCATCCTATCAGTTTACATTGACCATCATTGACCTGCGTTGCTTAAGAAATGTTCCTGGTCCAGCTTGGGTGAGCTGCAAACTGAGACTCAAATTTATGGCAAATCAGCTTCGTGGACACGTGCGAGAGGCCACAGCAGTGGAACTTTTGGAAGCTGAACATATTCAAACATGTTCAATGAAATGGGGGGCCTTTGTAAATCCCGTGAGATAGGTCGGGTGTCAACATCCCGGAAGTTTTGGACACCCAAGTGGTGGATTTCCGGTGGTCCCAAAGCACTGGATGCCAGCGTCAGCTTGGCAGGTCGTGGAGTCGCCGCACGGAAACCATGTCCTGCAACGCATGTTCCTGGGCCAGAAATTTCATCCATAGATTGTGGTTGGTTGTTGGGAAGGTTGGATGCGAATTCTGGAGACATGTTAGATTCTGTTAGATATTGCAGTGGAACTGCAGCTCATGGATCCACCATCCATCTCCATCCAGAATCGTAGAGATCCTTGCACCTGGAGGTTGGAGTTTATGTCTCCAAAGGCTTTGCACTTCGTTTTGGAAGAAATGCTTGCGTGGGCTCCTGCGCCAGTACTGGCCCGTCACCGTTACGGTTGCCGTGTCCTGGACAGACTCCGGGTCACAACACGTTTTTTTAAAACATTAAAACTCAAACCATCCCAAAACTTTTTTTGCACCATGAAACCACAACTATCTGTTTTTTTTGCCTGGGCAACGCTTTGAATTGCAGCTCAAATGGTCGCCACAACATCTCGCAAGAAACCCAACCCATCCACAACCGAACCTGGCAACAGAAACTCCCATATTTACGAATATGAAGTATATATATGTATATATATATACGATTATATATGTATATGTCATATTTGAATCATGATAATATACTGTATATATATATATTATATACTTGTATGTATGTACATACACGTGCAATAAGCACAGTATATAATGCATTAATCGCTGATTTTCCGTTTAGAAATGCAGCTTTTGTAGCCAGCCAGGGTACAAACTTTCTGGGACCATGGCAGGAGCGCATACTGGAGCATTTCGGCGAAGCATCCATCAAGTCACTGTTGGAAGATCTGTTGTACCATGCCAAGGACGTCTGTTGGGAGAGCCGTCTCCAGTGACACTGTAGAGATCCGTAGAGGTTGAATCCGATTGAAGACCTCTTCGCAACAGGTCTGATTCTGCTCATGTTTTTCTGCGCGCTCGTCATTTGAGCTCTAAAACTGTAAAATGTTCGAGACCTGCTACCCGAAGAGCTGAAAAACCGTGTAGTTAGGACGTTCCACCTGGAAAGCAGGAGTTGTGCCTTCATCCCTTTGGGAATTTCGTGATGCAAATCTTTATGGAACCAGAGCTGCACAAAAATGCTCTAGGTGCTGAACTTCCGCAGGTTTAAATTTTATGTTGAATTATTGCAATTTAGCCCGATACCATGACATCATGATCTTGCAACTCCTTGGAGTTTCAACCTGTATCAGGTTTGATGAAAAGGTGTGATGGCAGCCTCGCAAACAAGTATTGTTTGCCCTTCCAAGGAACATGCTCCGGCGACGTACCGAAAATCACTGATTGAAATCATCGCACAGCATCCTGGCAGTGGTTTCCGGTTTCTTATTCTGGAATCCTTTCAATTTCTCTTTGTCACGCCGTGTAATGTCTTGTTCCCGAAATAACCATAGAATCGATATGTAAACGAAAAAACAGGATTTGATATGGGAACTCAAATTCTAGGGATGTCCAGCAACTATGGATTTCCAGGGCTTCATGGATTTCCTGCAAGGAACATGGTCCAAGTGGCCAGTGACCACAATGGCTGTGCGGTATTGGAGAAGGGGTTGTCCTATGGTGAGGAGCGCCAAGTTTGTTGACGTGAGTGTTTTCATGATTGAATCTGTGGATGATTTAAGATAATTGAGGGGTGGTCCCCAGGGTAACAATATATATAGCGAACCATATTTTTTTAGTCCATATGGATATACCCTGGTGAACTCCCCAATTATGAACCATATCAAACTATTGGTGGGTTTTGACATGTTTTCACCATGTTTTGTCCATATGTGGATATGGCATGATATGGCTCAATGCTCAGAATCGTTTCAGAATTGGATGAACACTCAGAATGAGCAGTGCGTTCATTGATATTCGTCAGAATTGGTGCTCATCGCCACGTGTATCCCTCAAAATAATTCACCTGTGGTCGTAGAGAAATTGGATCGCGTTTAATGGTATTTCGATATGAATGGGAGAAGCACAGATTTTTAGCAGAAAACGTCGATGGTTTTTGTGCCATCCATTTGCCAACTATTTGCCAACCATCCTCGTTCTTCTCAAAATAGCGATTTGGAAAGTCTGTAGGTTCATTTCTTATGGCCATAGCCATTGATGCTGCGATTCGAACTGATAAGTCGCCAGTTGACAGAGGGTTGACGGTTGTGTGGGGTCTCATATTATCATGCTTCATGGGAGATACTGAGGAATTTATTCAATGATATGTCTGATATGTCTATATCGTCCATATCCAATTATACATTAAACACATCACATATGTGCATAATATGTGTGTGTATTATATATATATTACATCTATATTTTTATAGATCTAGGAATCCTTCAAAGCCAATCTGTCTGGACCCTTGGAGCCCCTTTCACCTGCCTCAGGAGGCCGAGCGCAAGATGTTGGTGAAGTCAATTCTGAAGGCAGCTGGACGTTGCCGGAGGGGCCACCCTAGTCATGGTTGGGTACCCCCCATAGCTGGATGGAACACTTCCATATATTTTTCCAGCTAAGTTGATCTAAGTTGGAGGCTACCAGGCGTTCGGGTGGTTTTAAACAGTTGAAGTCACGATGTTCTTTTTTTTGGGTATCCCGAATGACTGAGTGCATATTTTCGGGAAGCCATTACCATATTCATATTTTCATGGTGGTTTTGCAGCAATGTTTCGGATTGTTTCGAATTCCACGGTCTTCCCGAGCCTTTTGCATCTTTTGCTCCAACGGCTGGTGATCCTTTGGATGAATTTCAGCCATGTCTCAAGCCCAGATAATGAGGGACCTTTCCGTGACTTGAGCCACGCGAACTCTAACTTCCAGATGACCCGGAGAAGTGAAAAAACCTGTCTGAAGTAGAGAAATCCATTTCAATCTTTTGGGAAAGCCAAAGAAGTTTCAAAAGAGAATGCCAGACTCGCTATTGTAATAGCCATTCTGCCAGTAGCATTCACCAACTTTTGCCATTTTACTTTCACAGTTATCTGGCTATGATTTTATGACTCCATAACAGGGTTGCTTTTTTTCGTTGACTACACCAAACTTTAGTATAGTTTGTTTTACTGTTGCAATCATCCCAGAACATTTTAGCAGGCTCAATTCGAATCCTTTTTCTTGTCCATTGTTAAGTTGATGTTGGGTGATATTCCCTGCATACTTTATTTACCGGTAGTTCCAGAAGGAAACCCGGAGAAGTGGCATGCTGACATTGGTCAAATCACCACCTTGGATGTCTTCCTCTGACAGGTTTGCTTGACTAATGGAGAAGTACACCTCACCATTTTTCCCCAGATTTTCTTGTGATACACAGTCAACCAGTATTTGGTTGTATTTGGATTTAGACAAAAGTAGAATCAACTCAACATACTCAACCACGATTAATTTTGCTGTGACTAGTGACTAGTAGGTAGCTTTCATTTTTTAAATCATTTGTTAGATCACAATTTTATAAACCCATTGGCCTATAGGTAATTCAAAGATGGTATAACAAACCGACCTCAGGTTTTTTTGTTCAAAGGACGTATTTCATTGCGACCGCAGGTGGAAGGCTTGCTGCCCTCCATGAAGAGCTTGCGGGGTGGGGCCACGGCCATCGATCGCGTGTTGGACATTGCCACTGGCTGGGCCTTGAGCGAGGCCCAGCGTCAGTTGAACGGAGGAGCCCCAGTGTTGGCCACGGATTTTGAGATCCAAGGGACGGAAAAGGAGTTCAAGGGAAAGCAACACCATCCACCGCCATCCACCACACTATATATACCTGGGTTCCTGGGTTTGTTTTGGGAAAACATCCACCTGAACGAAGCATTCGACACTGGAAGATTTGGGCTCCACGCAGGAGCTGCCAAGATGATCAACAAGGGCCGGGGCAGGCCGGGGGTCCGCTAAAAACCATGCGGAAAACAAGCGAATTCTGGTGAATTTCAACAGCTAAAATGTGGTAAATCAACCGCAGAAGCAAAATAGCTTGGCTCAGTTATAACAGATACGCCTGACCCCGCGCCAGATTTTTTTTGTAGAATCTCCAGCATGCCAGTTCTTAAAAGGGACGTTTTTTGGAACAAAACCCGTAACAAAAAGTGGAAACTGCTAGTTTACAATTCTGCAATCGTGAGCCGTGTGCTGTATGGGCTGGAGTGCCTTGAACCATCTTGAACCTACAAAAACTATTGGTCGGATGCTCGACACTTTCCAACTAAAAGGATCGAGCAAGATTCTTAATTTACATACCACTCACCTACATTAACAAGAATCAACACAAATGAGTATGTATACCAACGAGCCAATGATGCCTTAGAGGCCCCTTCAGTAGGCCCACTTCGAAAAATTAAACCTGTGACTGAGATTCTCGAGGAAAAACGGTTAAAACTTCTGGGGCATGTGCTCAGAAGGCCAAGATCGCATCCTCAACACCAAGTCACTTTCGATTCGGTTCTTGCCAGACCTAAAGCCCCTCCCTTGCGTAGAGTAGGCAGACCCAGAAGATTTTGGACAACAAAAAATATGCGCAATCTTGGGAACTTATCCAACAGACAATGCTCAACCATTCTCAACCACATATTCCTTTTGATCCAGCCAAGCGGGCAATGCGGGAGGCATTGATAGCTGCGGCGCCGTACAACCAAGCCCCTTTTGACTAGTTCCCACCATCTCGATTTCAATCCTAACAAAATCACCGTATTTGATGACTACGGTAATCCCTCTCTGTTTGAACGTTACTCTTTGTGAACTCTGTCCTGTGCATCTCTCGAGGAAAGTAGATCGCAGTTGCAGATATGCTAGCGCTCAGTATGAACATCTAGTTGTGAACCTCTCCATGTGAATTGAATTTTCAGCAAGCGAGACCGTCTTCCAATGCAACTTGACAGTTTGATTATTGATTCTGAATAGCAGAAGTTAAGCCCGAAGTGAGAATTCTTATTGTACAGTGGTAGCACTCTTTTGGTTTTTCTCCTGTCCACAGGTTCCGTCGTTTCTTTATTTACCCTGTACACACAGCAGGGTCTAGGGCCAAAGGCTGCGTGCCTACAGCAAAGTTGGTTCGGGCTGCAAAGAAACATGTGGTAAAATGATGTAAAATCATGTTGAAGTTGATGCTGGGGGATCTTCTAGCCATTCCGGATTGATTCCTAAATTACTATTCAGGATATATACTGTACCCATCTGTACCCAATAACATCCAATATATAATTATATCATATGTTTTCGAGATGGTAGAATCACCCTCTTTGACTAAAAACATGTTCGCTGCAAACCCCATGTTGCCCGCATCGGATCCCGCATATCCTTTGACATGCTCAAATCCCTGCGTAGGGCTAGTGTTTTTTTACTTTCTAAAACCTAAAACCCTAAAAGCCCAAAAACCTAAACCCTAAATTAAAACCCTAAATCCTAAAAACCAAAGTCAAAATCCCTGCGTATAGCCAGTGTTTTCATTCATCCCCTGATGACAAGTATATGCCAGCGGGGGTAAAACCGCGCCAGCGTTTTGGCCATTTTTGAAAACACACATATTTCATTCGTAACATGCACATCTTACGTTACGTCACTGGGTTGGGGGGGTGGGACATGTTAACGTTCATGTTAACTTGCGTCACATGCACATCTTACGTTACGTCACTGGGTTGGGGGGGTGGGGCATGTTAACGTTCATGTTAACTTGCGTCACATGCACATCTTACGTTACGTCACTGGGTTGGGGGTGGGGCATGTTAACGTTCATGTTAACTTGCGTCACATGCACATCTTACGTTACGTCACTGGGTTGGGGGGGTGGGGCATGTTTAACGTTCATGTTAACTTGCGTCACATGCACATCTTACGTTACGTCACTGGGTTGGGGGGAGTGGGGCATGTTAAGGTTCATGTTAACTTGCGTCACATGCACATCTTACGTTACGTCACTGGGTTGGGGGGAGTGGGGCATGTTAACGTTCATGTTAACTTGCGTCACATGCACATCTTACGTTACGTCACTGGGTTGGGGGTGGGGCATGTTAACGTTCATGTTAACTTGCGTCACATGCACATCTTACGTTACGTCACTGGGTTGGGGGGGTGGGGCATGTTAACGTTCATGTTAACTTGCGTCACATGCACATCTTACGTTACGTCACTGGGTTGGGGGGTGGGGGATGTTAACGTTTATGTTAACTTGCGTCACATGCGCATCTTACGTTACGTCACTGGGTTGGGGGGGGGGGGCATGTTAACGTTCATGGCGTCATGCACATCTTACGTTACGGTTCATGTTAATGTTAACTTGCGTCACATGCACATCTTACGTTACGTCACTGGGTTGGGGGGAGTGGGGCATGTTAACGTTCATGTTAACTTGCGTCACATGCACATCTTACGTTACGTCACTGGGTTGGGGGTGGGGCATGTTAACGTTCATGTTAACTTGCGTCACATGCACATCTTACGTTACGTCACTGGGTTGGGGGGTGGGGCATGTTAACGTTCATGTTAACTTGCGTCACATGCACATCTTACGTTACGTCACTGGGTTGGGGGGGTGGGGCATGTTAACGTTCATGTTAACTTGCGTCACATGCACATCTTACGTTACGTCACTGGGTTGGGGGGAGTGGGGTTAATGTTAACGATGTTAACTTGCGTCACATGCACATTAACGTTCATGTTAACTTGCGTCACATGCACATCTTACGTTACGTCACTGGGTTGGGGGTGGGGCATGTTAACGTTCATGTTAACTTGCGTCACATGCACATCTTACGTTACGTCACTGGGTTGGGGGGGTGGGGCATGTTAACGTTCATGTTAACTTGCGTCACATGCACATCTTACGTTACGTCACTGGGTTGGGGGGGTGGGGCATGTTAACTTGCGTCATGTTAACTATCTAAGTCTGCCATCCCATGCTCTCTCTCTCTCTCGACGAGATCCAACGGCCGTGTCAACCCAAAGTTGATGCGAAGCATCCGGGTGTGGCAGTGGCGTTGGATGAACTCCAAGACGAAAAGTCTTATGGAGGTCACAGGTCGAGCCTTGAAAGACCGTGTAGCAATGTGAGATGGAAAAAAAAACCGGCGAGTTTTGGGGAAGAAATTCCCTGTAATTTACAGATATTTACAGGTTAAACACTTCAAAATCCCGGGGAATCTTGAACCCATTTTGGGGCATGAATCAGTAGTTTCGCTACGGCGAAAACGACATTTTTTAAAAAAACCCTCAAAACGCTGGCGCGGTTTTCCCCCCGGCGGGAAGTATATGATATTGTTTGGGTGTGTTCTTTGGGTGTGTTCTTTGGTTTGGCGCCAACCTGTTGTGACGGTGAACTGCGGACGTTGAATTCTGATTCGGTCAACGTCCGCATGATTCGGTCAAATCACAGTGGTTGATGCTAAAATCTGGACATTTGAAGGGGAAATCAACACCACCATTATTTCAGTGGTTTTTCAGTACCCTATGGTAATTTAACATAGCTATTGAAAACCACCATGTTTAATGGGAAAATCCACTATTAATGGTCATTTTCAATAGCTATAAAATTACCAGAGGGTAGTTTTTCTATGGTTTTTATGTGCCCGGGCCAGGTGGCGTGCCCAAGAGTCAGGTCGTCCCCGACGCAAGTGAAAAGTTTGGCTGCAGAGCAGTTAGGGCACCGCAGGCTCGTTGATTTTTCAACTTCATGAACAATTGTGAAGCGAATGAACCATCAAGATGCATCAACCATGTTTTTTTTTTTTGCATCAAACAGTTCTGGCTGATTTCTGGTGATTCTGGCATCATAGATAGCATCAAACATGGGGATTTGGGGACTTGAAACTCAAACATGGGGAATGTAGCATCAAACGTGGAGAATTTGCAGACTTTCTGTCGGGTGTAAATTGTTTTTGGAGCCTGTGGCTCATTGTTATCCTTGTCGGCTGTGCCGACTCGTTCGAAAGAAATCCAGTGAAACCTGCGAAGAGTCATGTGAAAGCAAGTAGTCCTTGCTGTTTACGTGGCGATTCGGAGGGATCTTAATCCTGTGGATTGACCTGGATATAGCGAGCATGAGTGAGCGAACGTAGAGGAACGTTGGAACGTTGGAACGTTGGAACGTTGACCCTGTCCGTACTTTGCCCCAGATGGGGGTTTTGGGACAGGTGCATGTAGGGCCAAGAGAGATGCCTTTCTTCTCGCCACCAGTGCGAGAAAGTGAATTTATTTGAGCAATGGCCAAAATTTCTGTTGGCTGATTTGCGTTTCTGTTGGTTGTTTTGTAATGTTTTGTATACTACTAAGATCTACTAAGTCTTAAGGGGATTTTGGTGACATTTTTCTTAAGTTATTGTGTGGGATTCACTATCAACCACAGGTTCTGGCAACTGCTCATTCCGCATCCTCCTTAGCGGATCTTCGCGGATGTGTGGAACCGTGTAGCGCGAAACTTTCCAATTTAGATGCGCTGCATTGATGCACAGTTGTTGGTGCGATGTACATAATTTGCACCACGTTTGTAAATAGCTTATTGAGTCCTTGAAAACTGTGACCAGAATCATTGTGTTCGGTGGCTTTGCCACACCTTCAAATTCCGGTCCAGGTTTTTCAGGAATTTGCCATCGCTTCCATGTTGGCTACTGTAGGTGAAGACTTTCCCCGAGCACTCAGAGACACCCTGACAACCTGAGGACTGAATGGCTGGAGTCAGGGTCAACTGCCCACAAAATTGTTGCGTTTAAAGTTTCCATGGCCGTAAGCGGCTAAGATCAGCGGCCTGTTTCAGTTTGTTTCTGTGGTGTTTCCATGTCCGTTGCAGCTCCTCGACTCTCTTTCAAAAGGGTGAAACCTCTGACTGTAAAAAACATCGTTGGCTCGTGATGAAAGTACCTGCCGGACGTTGGCCCAGAGTAAGATTTTGGAGGACGGTGAGGACAACATGAAACGACCAATCCTCAACCGTTCCTTTGGAGGTCTTTCAGAGGAGGCAGTGTGGCATGCTTTGGTGACGGAGGATCAATGACACAATTCCTCTCATTCCTTTCACTTTTTACCGGATTGCTGATTCTGCTTTCGTTTGACCAAGAATATCCAAGAATAATAAAGCCTTAAGATGCGAGAGATGGGGCATCGTTAGCCATCGACACATGATTTTGGGGATTGGAAAGGAGCTGGGCCTCGTTTCAATAGCTTCTGCCCGTTTCATGTCAGTCCCGCAATCGCTGCCTCGGCGCCCTTTTTCCTATCGCTCCCAGGGCGATCGCTGCTTGGAACATGTATTTTTTCCGCGGCGAAGATCCCCACATCCGCCGTGACCATGACGGTGGGGGGTTGACACATTAGGGCCATTCCAGGTAACTCCTTGATGACATCATTCGGGCTCAAGAGGTTTCCATCCTATTTGGGAGGAGGATCCCAAGTAAGTTTATACTGTAATTCATCGTCTGGGGATAGGTTGACACTTTTCTTGAAACCATCAAGTATACTCAAGTATATAATATTTAATTTAATATAACCAACTAGAAAAGTTTGGTTATTGACTAGATGCACATCGCATGCGCCGAAAATCAAACCACAATGTGGTTGACATCGCCATAGGTTGTTGCTGGACCAGATAGTAGACATCAGGAGATAGCTGCAGCTGGCCCCAGATTGTTGAACACTGGGCCACTTTTAGCATTTGCGCTGTACCAAGCAGTTCAGAATGCGGCCGCAGAGCTGTACCAGGGCTCAAGACAACGCCAAAAAGAGGCGGCTACTGATGGGTTTTTCCAGTTCTAGTTTCGAAATAGATATCTTGGTGGTGGCTCAACCTATATTGAACACAGGCTTGGTGATTTATTTATTTAATTACTGTATAATGTGGGATGGACACCATTCCCGACTTGAATGCTGTCCCTTAAGTAGGTTTGTGTTGAGCAATCTCTGTGAGCCAAGCACGTGCTGTCCAGAAGTGAGAAACCAAGCCACGAGATCCAAGAGTCCGGCCGAAGGACAGGCTATGAACACAGGTCACACTCAGAAACTTCTTTCCTGTGTGAGAGGAATGTCCGCAGTGTTCCATGAATGCTGGATGTCTAATGTCCTACTCTCCTACCCTTGTCAACTTGAACAACTCAACCCATGCAGTGGCCAGTTTGCCAGGTTCGCCAGTCTTCCCAAGGTTTCAGCACAATGGCCTTTCAAGATGGTGCCGAGTTCCATGGATACCGATATCCAAGCGGCATGTATTTTCTCATGTATAGTTTCTTGACCCTTTCACGGTGACTACGTCAAGATCATCAACGGGCCGCGGGCCGCGAGTTCCATGGCGGCGCCATGTGCCATGGCAGCCATGGCCCTGATCCTCATGTGGCTTCCCATGGGATGTGCCGATGGGCCGTTGATCACAACCACCACAGCAGGAGCGGATCGTTCAGCCGACATCAGCCGACATTGTCCATGGATTTGTCCATGATTCTACCGAATTCTACCCGATTTGATCCATTTGTGGTTAGTTTCCCTTCAGTCTTTGGACATCTTGCGACGGACAGGGGTGGGACAATCCATGTTTTCCAGTGCAGACAATCAACATTTCAGACGATGTTCCTCAAACGCTATTTGACTCTAGAGATACAAAGGGGGGCTTTACTCCTGCCACGACGCTTCCTGGCTTTGGAAGGGTGCACTTCTTCGTCATCACCAGTCACTGGCACATCAACTAACAAGTAAAAAAACATAAAAAAAAACCATGCCTAGGGCCCGGCCCGAGTGCAGATGCCTGCTAGGCGCAACGACCGCATCCACCACGTTGGAAGCAACCACCTCCACGACCTCCACGACCTCCACGACCTCCACCACCACCACAACCAGTACCACATCCACGACAACCACATCCACGACAACCACCACCATTCCCGAGCGCTGCCAGTCTCCTGCATCATTCTCTTGCAGCTCTTCTGCCGCGTCTCCGAAGCACTTGGTCCAGGGGCAGGGTGAGAAAATGTTGAGTTGCAAAGTGGGGCAGGGACATGGCAACCCCACAGAAAATGATGCAGTCTCCGACCTCCTACAGTGGGTGGAACGTCAAGAGGCCGCATCTTCCTGCTTCCTTTGCACGTTTTGTAAGAGATGTTTCATAGCGAGCCGCAGGTCGGCAAACCACCAAGCTGCGTGAGTTTGCATGATGAGTTCGCGGAATCATTTTGTAGAAACATGATCTGATATAACAATCATAACAGGCATATATGATACATTATGATACTGCTCACCTTTCATGGCAATTCAATGGTTCTGCGACCCAGTGTCTCAGGTGGGTGCAAACACTGCCGAGTTGCGCATTATGGATGGGACTTATGAGATATTGGACCAGTATTGTGGTGGCCGCTGGGGTCGCCTTGAAATCAAGCAGGAGCTGGCAGGGCTTCAGAAGAACTTTTTCCCACTCCTTGTCAATCCTTGTCATACATCACATAGATATAAAAATACATCATATATAAACAATATATAATGTTATAGTATATATATAATATAAATAGTGAAGGCCACACGAATCCTGCAGACATGCATCTTTGTGGAACCTCAAATATATATAGGGAGTTCTAGGCATTACAGTACATGGCATGACAATTTCGGTCCTTCCCTAAAACCCCAGGACGCGCAGTGTTAGGTGAGCTGGATTGGAAATATGTTACAAGTGATGGGAACGTCACTTCGAAAAATGCTACATTTGGTGTAAAAGCCATGCAAACCCTGCTGACATGCATGTTTGTTTGAACCTCAAACATAGAAATCACGTATCATAAATTTTTAAGGTAGGTTTTCTTCATCATTCTTCATCACTGTATATACAGGCAACAGCACCAAATTGGCACAACAAATCGAAAACAGCGGAAACCGTACGACCCAAAATTGACATGTAAATTACATTTTTGACCCCCAATTGGGATGCTACCGTGACTATTATTTCACTGAACAAGTGAACCCTGTGCCATGACAGGATGGGTCCTGGGGCCAAATCTGCGATGAAAATTTTGGCGACGCAGATGCCCGTGTGAGCTGCCGCCAAATGGGTTTCGCCGACGGATTTCAAATCCACGACTCTCCACGGAGATTTAGAGACGACCAGCCCTATGGATCCAAGTATCTTCTTAGGAAGTGTTTGGGGTATAATTTACTATAATGTGGAGGGTTAAGTACCTTCTCAGACAGTGTTTGGACATCGGCTGTCCCGTTGTAGGTCGGGGCTGGCGTTGCCAGTTTCTTTCCAAACGCTACAAAAGCTTTCAAGCTGGACCGTGTGACATCGTTTTGTTCACATGAAACATTGCCAACATCGCTTGACACTCCACGATTTTTGTAGATGTACCCAGGTGATTTTCCGATTGCTAAGTGACCCATCCGGGAGGGTAATCTAGGGGTGCAGCTCCAGGTGTAAGTGGATATCAAGTTAGAACCCTAACTGCACCCCCAAGTCAATGGGAGATCTTCAGGATCCTAAAATGGAACTACTGTAGCATATATGTTTGGCCATATTTTGCGGGATATTCCATGATATTCCCTTACAAAGCCCTAAAAAATAGGCCTGAGATCTGGTAGGTCACCCATGTCGTTTTACCGAGGACTTCTACTACACCGGGCGACTCAGCCCGCCAGCGCGCCTTGACGGCGGACACCGGGTGTCCCGGGGCCCCCGGGGCGTGGATTGTTCGAGTCACCCCTTTTTTTCAAAGGTGTCCCAGCCAAATAAAAGACACATACCCTCTGGTTATGTCAAAATAGCGATTGAAAATGGCCATAGAAATAGTTGATTTACCCATTAAACATGGTGATTTTCCATAGTTATGTTAGTTTACCAGAGGGTATTTACCCTCTGGTAATTCCACTTTTTTTTGGTGGATTTACCCATTGAACATGGTGATTTTCCATATAGTTACTGTTAATGTAAACGTTTACCAAGGGCTGATATTGTTTGGTTTTTGTTTTGGTGTGCCAAATTACCGAACAGTATCCAAGTGGAGTACAAACGGGACATGGTTCACATGTCATCAAGCAAAGTGCCATTGAGGAATTGTGGAAAGAGTGATTCAATTGGCTTGTATACCTGGTATTACTTTCTTGCAAGGTCTTGAATCTTGCTTTTGTTTAGAACCGTCATGAATTGTCAAAACACCCCACTGACCACCGATCATTGACAGGTATGACAACAGGTGTAGTTTTTTTTGGGCTATTGACATAAATTGACTACACCAAGTACCCTACACCATCCTACACCATTGACAGCTCAGCAACAGCCGTGATTAGACTCGTTGCGCTGAGTAGCACTTTGCCGGTGGTGATGACTGGTCCGCAATGCACCGGATCCGAGAGCCGAGTGCAAGACTGCAGCCTTGGCCGCAGAAAACTGGCCCAGATTTTATTGAGGTGTGGCACCATGGAAGGAAGGGATCAATATATATATATATGATTATATACATATATAATTATATATATAATTATATATATATATATTATATATATAATATAATATAATATAATATAATATAATATAATATACAATATAATATAATATAATATACAATATAATATAATATAATATACAATATAATATAATATAATATAATATACAATATAATATAATATAATATAATATATAATATGTATATATAATAACATTATTGTATGTTCCTTTTCCCCAGAATTTCATTTTGTTCATCGTTTCCATGACTTGCGCTGGGACCGGGACCTTGCTGGGATACCAGCTCGAATCACTCATTGATAACTTGTTTCAAGGGACACTGACTGAGGAGGAATATTAATAAAACAGCATAGGGGAGTTACAACCAGCATCAACCAGCTAGTCTTTGCTCCCATGACGAATTACTTGTTATATTCCCCTCTTCTTCCCTAAACATATGAAACATGTCAAACATGTTATCAATTCTATATAGCTATTGGTGGTACAGAAACTGAGCTTCCGGATGTGACCAGAAGCAATTGAATACCTCATATTGTTGATTGTTGTTCATTAGAAATCAGTTACAGTTACAGGTGGGCCGGGGTTATCCTGGGTCAAAACTGGTCTGGAACACTTGACGCACACCCATAGACGGTCATCCAATTGCTGGTTGATATTGAAGGTACTATGTATTTCTGTTGGCTCATTTGCCCTGTGACAGTTGAGCAGTTCGCCAAATCTGCAGTGCTGATATTCTGTTGTTGGCACATCAGGTTAGATTAATTAGATTGCACATGAGAGCTTTCATGTGTTCCTTCAGTGAACCCCTAGTATACCTAATCATATCAACCATAAGGAAAGATTATGATAGATATTGGCTACGTACTACGATATACTACGATTGCATATGGGTCAGTATATATACCCATCACAACAACGAAGGACTGCTTCCGTAATTTTTTCAGTAGCAGTTGAGTGGAAACTGGATTTACAATAGTCTTATTTCAGGTCAGTGAGTTATTGAAAGTTATTATCAATATATGTCTATTTCTACGTCTACATAAAACTGACTTATGTATGTATTATATACAAATTTAATACAGCCCCACACAATAAAAGCAAGAACATTCATAATATAGTTTAATATTTGGGCCACATAGTAGTAATATCATCATTATAGGTCTATCCATGGATCCCCAGCACCAAGTGATTCTCCAAGTTTTCAGGTCCCAGCTTTGGCACTGCGCCAAGTAGCAGCTCACTGTGCAGCACGCCGCGCTATAGCGCGGGGGTGCTGTGCTTGGGAAGTCAGCCCAGCACGGCGGAGTTGAAAGCCATGTGTCGCTTGAGAAGATGTGGTTTTTCGATTTAATGGGATTTAGCCATCAACCATCAATTGTAGGGTTTTTTCAGTGAGTTTCACTATCACAGATGTGGGGATGCAATTGATAAACACCATTGTTGATTGTTTTTTTTGGGGATTCTACTAGCTGGTTTTTCATGGGGATGCAATTGACAAGCCATAGTACGGAAACCTATTAACCAACCAGTATAATGAAATAGGATAAGGGTATTTTACTGGGTCATGTGTTTTCCAAGAGTTTTTTTTCAAGTGTTTTTTCTGGAAGAACACGATGCACTTGGGCATTTTTGTCGTTTCGGCAAGATCTGCCGAAGTTTCCGTTGTTTCCTTTTGCTACCCCTGTCCATGCCGTTCACCTTTAAGGTCCGAAACTGATCTTCACGGCAAACGATCAGCGGAATAAGGAGACGCATCCCTTGCAGCTCTGCTGAGAGCTTTCATGGGTCTGGATGAAGCCGGTAGGGGAATCCCTGTCAACAAACCTCAAGCTTTGGGGGTGACGGAAAAAAACAACAGGCGTTGATCATGCGTCAGTAGAATAATAACGTATTTTGGTTGATGGGGGTGATGGTTGGAGTCGGAGAAAGAACATGAAAGATACTACGAGGTTACGAGGATTGGTATGACACTGCAATCAGCTGACATCAGCTGCAATCCTAAAAGATCTAAAAGCAAACGCACTCCATCTCTGAAGGATTCTGCTGTGCAGATTTAAAACGGTCTCCGACAGTTCGCATGTGAAACTGACTGCTCGTTGGCAATGCAGCCATGCAACATGTTTTGTTTTGTGTTGTATTGTTGTGTTGTATTGGCATCTTCATCATCACTTCCTGGCGCATGTTACTATGCTCTATGCCTCGGTGGATGCGGGCCGGAAACGGTACGAAGATGATGACCAATGGTGCAACTTCGAAATGGATACTTTGGGTATGCCTGCTCGCTTGTCGCCTGACACCTTGCAATGCTGCAGAGTTTGCACTAGTGCAGTCATTGAAGGAAAGCTGTGTGGAATTCATGTCCACTCGTGATAGTCCTGTGTACAATCTTGCATGGCTTTTGCTGCTATTTTGTGTCGCATGCTTATGGGATCGCATTTCCAGTGGAAAGCGCAAAACAAAAAAATCATCCAGTAGGAAGGGACAAAAAATCAAAAAGCCAAAAAAGTGGAAAAGCCCAAAAGCATCCCAAAAACAAATCAATTCGCATTACAAATGCGGTGCAAGTGCATTATATGTCGCCTTTGCTGCACGTCGTGTGAGAAAAGCGAGACGCAAAAAAGCACGAATATACCAACGTAGACAGAGGCAACTGCTCCACCAGAAGCGCCTTTACTTCTGGGCATTGGGGCATACAAACAGAATGAAAATCGAAAGGAGAAACCCCAAAAGACCAGTTGCACATGTGTTGCCATCACCTTTGTGGTGGCCATGGACACATGAATTTCAGCCGTATTTCCAAGCGACATCACGCCAATGGAATGTTGCCACCGCGACAGCGACAAATCAACCATGCAGTGCTCAATATGTCAGGAACCTGCCCTTTCTTAGAGATTGCTTGCAAAGTGACAACTGTGACATGATTTGCCCACCAAGCAAAACAAAAGAACAAAGGCAGCGACATTCGGGTTGGACCAAAAAGCAGAGTTCCTGCCGACACGGAAAACACTTCGCGTGCGATATATTCACTAGTGCTTCGAGCCTGACAGACAGTAGCAAGCCAAATGCCAACCATAGCTTTGATTTGCCACACCTACGACACATCCTTAAGGGAGGTGCTGGAGGATCATCCAGAAAAAACGCATGAGAAAGGAACAGCAACAGTATGGATCACTCCAGCCACACAAATCCATGGCAGAATCGCCAAAAAAGAAGGAAAACAGAGCATGCTACCAAGTCACAAGGTGGCCTCCGAGACTGCTGCATGAAAAAAACAGATCACAGAATGAATGAGTGAAGAAGTTGCCAAATCAATCAGCACAGTTCTGCAGTCATTCTTGCATCCTCCACAGCGTAAAGTATATCAAACCGCCGAAAATTATCCCAGAGATACCAAAGACAAGGGAAATCGCTGGTCTAAACCCAGACTAGCAAATCAAAACAAAAACAACGCAGTGCCTCCGATCACAGGGCTGGTAAGCAGTGAACGGACAGCCGCTCCGGTACTGCTGCCAGCCAAAGATCTTGTGAAGGCGATCAAGGGCGGGAAATCCCCTCCCACAGCCAATATCACCGCAGTCCATGACCCTGCCGAAGCCAAAATGATCGAACAAGTCTGGAAAGCTTATGTCCAAGAAGGTTTCTGGACATTGATCCTTACAGGACAAGCCAAGGCCGTGTTACCAAACACCACGCCTGCCACCATCAGATTTTTCCGTGCTAGGCAACCAACCCATCAGAATAGAAGAGGTGTCACTGCTCTTCTTGGGAGATACAGCCGAAGCCGTGAAAACCAAACCTATCACTAAGGTCTCATCCAACTCACTGAAACCCATACAGAAGACCACAGGCCGTATTGCTGCCCCTAGTGATTTTCGTGAGCCTTTCCTGGAAACAACAGCAGACAAACCACGTCTGGTAGTCCAGGAATTGCACAATGGGATCCTCAAATTCGAGCATCTGCGTTGAGAGGAGGCAGGTGGTCGGAAAAAACTTTTGGATGGACAACCATATTGACAGGCCTCCTTGACCTTCCCTGCCAAGACGCTTTGGCCCTCTCACAGCATGCTGGAAAGAGGAGAATTTTGTCAGTGTGCAAGATCGAACGCTTACGAGTAAGTTATCACTTGGATCTCGGGATTGCCAGAAGAAGGTAACGCAGATTACTTGACCAGATGCCTCAATCAAGCAATAGAGAGAAAAGCTGTGCTATTTCACAAGAAGGGAGACCCCAGACACTGCTTGGGGCTACCAGCCACTGCTGCAGAAGCAGCAGAACAAAAATCCAAACAGTACACCGCTCGAGGAGCCCCACACGAGTGGTATCAGGAAGAATTTGAAGATTTCTTAGAAAAGCAGGGATGGAAAAACGCTAAAGCCATTCACAAGCAACGATTCCGCAGAGAGTGGCGTTTTGTGGCAGTTGCTCCAATATCAGACAAACAATATAACTACCAAATTGATGATGGCCCAACTATCACTTTAGTCCTTGCACCAGCAAAACCAAAGTCAGCCAGCTAATCCAAGCCTCTGAAAAATACTTGGCAGTACCAAAATATTAGTGACAGTCAGAAGCAAGACGAAGAAATGGGCGAAGCAGAGGATGCATCGAAAAAGAAATCGCGAACACGCGGTCGCAGTCCGCTAAGATCCACTGTGCCTGACACGTCATCACAGTCTCAGGCGGAGAACGCCTCTCAGTCTCGACCAGAACAAGAGACCAAAGCTCCAGCTACCGCTGGGATGAGGAACACATGCCAAAGCCTCCCGAGCAATCCCACGGAAGCCATGTCGCAAAATTGGACCAAAAAAGATTTTGAAGGCAATGGTGTTTGCATGTACCGTGCTGTCGCTGGTACCCGAGCGTGGGTAAAGGATGGAAGAACCTTGACGCCGGACGAAGCCCGCACAGGGGCAGCAGAGCTACGCATGGCTGTGGTTCAACATGCGAGGAAACATGCTCGCACCAGACTCTGAGGAAACTCCTGAACAAAGATCTGATCAAGCCATCCCGACATCACTTGAAGAATGGTGCCAAAATCAATCATTGCAAAAAAACATAAGGTGAGTGGACGAGATATTGCTTGGCTTCTAAATTTACCAATGATATGGCAGGTCTTAGATAAAGAGAAAAGCCAATTTCCATCATCCTCGAAAGTGGACATTACACTGGTTTGCTGCCACCAAAAGAAACGCGAACACCCAAGCCATGGCTGTACAAGACCACGGAGAACAAAAAGACCATCCTCATAGATCTCACAGGAGGTGGGAAACCGTCCAAATCAGTCGCTCCAAGCCGGAAATCAGTTCGTTCCTTTAAAAGCAAACGTATCAAAACATACCACAGTGCTGGCCGTGTCAAAACAGCCGATGCTGCCAGCCTTCTCACTTACAAGTCAACAGAGACAAAGCTGAAAGCAACTGCCACGTCGAAGAAACAAATCCAGATCTTAACCAAGCAACCGGAAAGCAAGGCCCAGGCCGAACTTTCTAAATCTCGCAGACGTGTGGATATCCCGATCCATCAGAAGATTGCCGCCCAAAAGCAGATCGCCAAAGATATCCAAGCCAAGCGACTTGCATCACCCCAAGAGGTCGCCAGTAGCAGAGCGAGCATTCCTGACACAAATTGCCCCGACCAAATCCGCCCAAAGACCGGACCCCAACGTCCCCAAAGGTCCCAAAGGAACCCAGGAGGATTTGCGCTGGGTATGCCGATTGTGTTCCATGGAAGTTATAGCTCCTAATAGGAAAAGTGCTCAATTGGAGACGATGTAACCATTTCAAATCCAGACGCCCGCATCACAAAGACGGATTCTGATAAACATATCCGGTTCAAACTAGAACCGGTGGTGGCTTCTCACGAAATCCCACCTGCCGCCAGAGATTGGGAATGCTCTTTTTGCAGAAAAGGTTTGCCATTCATAGACCAGGTGAAGCAGAGGCAAATCTCCATCCGTCATCACTGGAAGACGGATCACCCAGACCAAGATTGCTCCAGAGCTGCTGTCACCATCAAAAGATTGGAAGCGCATCGAAATAACTCTGACGACGAGCCAGGTTTGATTGCTGGACGCCAAAAGAAGTCAGCCAGTCAAACAAAAAGACATGCAGCCAATAGAGACGTGAACCGAAATATCCATCAACTTGTTGCCTTCGAACCGCACTGGCCAACTTGGAAAAAATGTTTGGTCGATCCTTTCAACCATTTAGGTCCGTTTTTCACTCGCATGAAATGTTGAGGGTTTGGGCACTACCCCAAGTTCTGTGTCAAATGCTCTCCTGTGAAGTTCTCCCATTGGCGGACCTTGCTGGACGATATCAACCAGGATCTCTTAGTGACCCAGTGGAACACCACGCGCGAGACCGTGGCCGTGACCGAATATTTCCAAGCCGCTGGCAGCCAACACTCCAATCAAAAGCGCAGCCTTGCCAACGCAAAAAAAAGGAAGATTGCTGCAGCAGGGAATTGAACCAAATCCCGGACCTAGTCAAAGAAGCAGGAATGTGGAAATTTCGATCGGACTCAGCATTTTGAATACACTAAGAACCCCAGGATACCGGAGAGCACTCAACAGCCCAGGTGATCCGAGGGTGCTCGTGTTGCATGATACTCCGTTCACCTTCGCAGACATTGCAGATTCCCAAAAAGCAGACGCAAAAAGAAATCACAGCGTGCACTGGCAACCGGGCAAGATTCATGCTTCAGGCTGAAAAACAGGTGGGATCACCACCTTGGTGCCGAAACATATTGCAGCCAGAGCATCACACTCATGCAAGCCTTACCTCCAAATGTGAATTGCAGAACAAGGATATCGAATTATCAAATGCCAAATTTGATCGTTTGATTGAACAGGGAGTCGGGCCATATCCTGGGCCACACTGCCAGCCCGGGAATGCGGTGTGCTTTGAAATTGTCTCAATCAATTTGCAGGTATCCCAGGAGCATGGAGAGCAGTTGAAACGTGGAAAAACTGTGTCTTGATGCTGCAAGATACTGATTTCACTGAAGCTGACTTAAAAAGTTTTCAACTTGCTGCCAAGAAAGATAAACTCAAGGTATATCACAATAGTTGTGGATACCAGGCAGGCAGGAAAGTTGAAGGGTTCACCGCGTTGATCCCATCTAAACTCAGGCAACATAGGTTACCTGACACGGCTGGTAACTTGCTGACCTGTTGCATCGAGGGCATCGCATGCATTAACACTATGCCCCTCCCAGCTGCCAAAAAAGCCAGTCTCAAGCTTTCCTTGAGACACTCATTGCACACAAACTTGAACATGTCCCATGGTTTGCAAACGGGGATCACAATGAAAGCCCCGTTGACAGCCATATTCATTCCAGCGGAGCCGCTCATGGTGGAGTTGTGCTAGGCACTGGAGAACCCACCAGGTGGGTAGGCAATACGGAACTTGATTGGTTCATGACGAACTCTCCTTTGCTGTTTGGTAATCCCATTCCCCTCAAAGAATTTCACATCAGCGATCATATTGCCATCAGTATTGTGTTGTATTGTATTGTGTTGTGTTGTGTTGCATTGTGTTGTGTTGTGTTGTATTGTGCTGTGTTGTGTTGTATTGTGTTGTGTTGTGTTGTATTGTGTTGTGTTGTATTGTGTGGTGTTGTGTTGTATTGTATTGTGTTGTATTTTATTGTATGTATGTGCATTTATGTACATATGCACAATTAAGTGTATACACGCATACACAAATAGATTCGACATAGATATTGTACCAGTTTGAGCGTCATCTCTTCTGATAGCAATACAACTATGTACTCATATGTGTATGTGTATGTGTATGTCTATGTCAATGTAATTTTTATGTATATGTACGCGTGTATATATATATATACATACACATATTTACATATATCTATATATATATGCATATGATTATTAATTTCATGTTTGTATATATATATATATAAACAACTTGCACCATGCTCATCAGCCCTCAACTCAGGGTTTGCAATGTCCAAGGTCAATCAAGAGCTATTTCCCCGGAGGTTCTCACACATCGGGTTTCGGTGGTACTGGTGTCTCTACCGCTGATGGAGGTCTGGGGAATTACGGTGGCACCTATCGATGCTTGGCGTTGGGGGCGGGGGCTCTAACCTGGCAATGATGGCAGAAAAATCCAAACAACTCCGAAAATAACATCAAACCATGGATTCCATGGATCGCAAACTCCCCATTTTGATGATAAGTTCCATGGCAGGTCAGAAATCCACCCTCCCAAATCCCAAGGAACTGTGGCGGAGATTCAGAATGCTTGGGGCGAAATTTCAGATAGCGAGGTGCCAAACATGGGAGGACACCAGTGGCGCTATCCCATGGCCACCAAGACACTTGGTCGGAAATGGGGCTGATTTCTGTGCAAAATTCTTATCAAGTATGAGATCAGCGTGATTCATCAATGGCCATTATTATATATTTACTATATTAATATTTATTATATGAAATTCGGACCATTTCGGACCCCATAATTGAGAAACGCTATATATATATATATATAGTTCCGTCCTGATTTGTGTGTAACCCCCCTTAAACGAATGCTGTACCCTCTTTAAAACTGAGTTCTGAAAACCGTTCCCCAGATAGAATACGATCATACATTTCAGGATATTAATTGGCGACATTCGAAATCTATATAAATAGAACTTGTTTTTGGTCGGTGAACTTGTAGAACTGGTAGTACTGGTAGTACTTGTAGTCAGGGGGTTCAGAATGTTGATTGAGTCACCTTTTTGCACCTCAAATTGTTTATTTAACATCCTTCGGCATTAGGGTGGAGTAGGGGGTGGGAAGTGGCAAGGTGTAGACGCTCTTCACTCTACCACTGACTTTTGACACCTGTCGCATCCTTGTAGGCTTTAGGATAGTACCAAGATGTCCTTGGATGCACTCTTTGCTCTACTACTGGCTTCTGACAACTATCACTAGCTTTTAGGGCTTAGGGGGACACGCTCTGCACTCCAGTAATGATTACTAAGGATTTTCCATACCAATCACTACCTTTTAAGTTTTAGGGTGGGTTGGTGGGGGGGGAAGTGGCGAGATGTACTTGCGCACGCTCTTCGCTCTACTACTGACTTCTGAAAAACTATCCCTACCTTTTAGGCTCTAAGAAGCAGGACCCACCACTCCTTGAGCAGCAAGCAGCAAGCGTTGGCGCAGGCAGTCCGTTGCACCTGTTGAGTATGCAGAAAATATTGCGCACGCCATATAGAAAAGTAATATAAGAAGAAGAAAGCGTCACGCCCGCCGCGTGCAACCAGGGCAGCAAGTACACAATGCAAGGCGTGCCGGTTTCGGCAAGCGGCGCCACGCAGGTCAGAGAAACCCTATAGGTGTTCAAAGTCAGAAGTAGAGCTCACTGCCATCAGGGTCCTATGTCTTCTTGGAGGCCCAGCCTCAAGCTAGAAAGGTGGCTGATTGCTTGCTGCACTCAGTGCGCAAGTGCGTGCCTGACCGCTCAGGAGCAGGTGCTATTCCAGCTTTGCGGCTGACTTAGCTGAAGGGCCCTGCACAAGCACAGCTGTCTCCTGGCACCTCACCATGGATCCAATGGAGCCTTCAGTGAGCCATGAAAAATGGGATTCATGGTGATTTAATGGTTTTTTACTGAGATTATGTATAAATAAATATACATACATACACAATATCTGGATAATCAACCACTTGGGGGTTTCTTAAGCCATGGTTTGGATTTTTAGTCGTCACATGTCGTCACCATGGTCGTTTCCAATACTCAAGTCATGGTTATTCATGACTTGGATGATTTGGGGCTACCCCCATGACTTACGCAACCTCCATTTGGGATGTGTAATGTAACTATGACCTCACACTGTTCAAGAATTGAGGATAGCTTGTGATGGCCGGTTGAAGCCCAGGCTTCCTCTTCGGGTTCAAGTGGTTCTGCGGCAACCACGGCAACCACTTCTGTGGTGGGCACAAGTCAAGTCACCGTGACTTCCAGTAGTGACACGGCCGGGACGGCCGGGGGCAAATCAGATGCCTCCAGGAGTGCTTCCAGAGTCCTGGGACTTTGTATAATCCTTGCAGTGGGCAGTTGAAGCCGAAGGCTCCAAGGCCCCAAGGCCCCAAGGCCCCAAGGCCAGCCCCCAAGGGGAGTGCCATGGTTTTAGCTCCCCTGCAAGAGATATTTCACCCAACATCCTGCTGAAACTGGCTGGGGATGATATTGAAGACTGGCGAGAGGTGCCAAGAACGATATCCTGCTGAACCTCGGGCAGTGTCAGTGTCCTGTATTATTCACAGGGTTGTATCCCTTCTGTGGATCCCATTTACAGTCCCTCTAGAAGGGTCTTGAAACCATCCGATGTCATCCTATCCAACCTTGGCGTCTCATTGAGGTCCTGCTGAGTTGGGATTCTCAGGCTAGCGGTATAAGGGACTTGACCATCCTTTTCTGAATTCTACGTGTTTTTCCCTTTTCCGATCTTCTTTGCACTCCCCAAGAAGCAGAACTCGGAACGTGACAGGACAGAGGGTCTGGGGATTTCAGTGGTTGAACGCCGGCAGAGAAGCTGAGAAGCTGAGGTGTAAATACAGTGGCTGGGGTATGCACTTATCTTATCTTGGGTACGTCGACTGTGTACCCACTACCAATATATGTATATTATATATATAATATATGTATTATATATATATAATATATTTAATATATATATATATACATGGATATACAGATATACAGATATACATGGCCTTTAATTTCTTTTGACGGTGAACGTCATGCCCAGGGGTGAGACGGCCGCCGCAAAGCAGCTAGCGCCTTTGCGCCACAATCGGGGAAAAGGGCGCGACTTGAGAGACTTGGGATTTGAAGGGTTGGATTTATGTTCTTTTACGAAAATACGACAGAAAATGACAGAAGTATAATATATATATATGTATATGTATATATATGTATATGTATATATATGTATATATGATATATATGTATATATGGATATATGTGTGTATATATATATGGATATGTGTATATATATATATATATATGGATATATGTGTGTATATATATATGGATATATGTGTATATATATATATATGGAGAAACTAGTTGAACTTGGGCAATCTGATTTGTTTCGTTGGTGGATTAGCGACAGCATCAGCTAGCAACTGATTGATCTGCAGCGCAGAGGAATCCATACCGGATGAGCGTTGCACAATGGACTGCGTCCAGTAAGAGACACTGTGAAATGGGTGCCAGAACAGCAGCCGAACATTTCCTTGAAAGGTGTGTGTTTTGGCAGTTTCCCTTAGAGGGCCATTTGTTTTAGTGTGTTCCAACTCCCGATAAGTTTGGCTCTACTTCTCTGCTATTCTGCCTTTCCTGCTTTTTCGCTTCTTTGCCTTTGTTGCTTTGTTGCTTTATTTGCTTTTTGTTTTTTCTCCGCATGTTTTCCTCTGCTTTTCTCCTTTTTTTGATTTGGTCGCTGTTCTCCCTTTCCAGTTTTCTTCCTTTTCCGCTTGTTTAATTTTTTTGCGGTTTGCTTCCTCTACTTTTGTCGTTTTTCTATGCTGTTTCATCGCTTTGCTGCTTTCTTCCTTCCACGTTTTCCTGCTTCTTTGCTTTTCTGCTTTCATTTTCTGCTTCGCTGTTTTTTTGTTTTAATTTTTATGCTCAAACATTTTCCTCTTCGATTTCCTGCTTCCCTGTAGTTCTGCTTTATTACAAGCACAACTGCAACTACAACTACAACAAGAACAACAAGGATAGCAAGATCGGCAAGAACAGCAAAGACAGCAAGAACCACAAGAACAACAAAAACAACAAGAGCAACAAGAACAACAAGAACAACAAGAACAACCACAACGAGGAGAAGGACCAACACTAGAACAAATTTGTCTCTGCGTTCCTAGTGGGTAGGCGCTGTGCCTTTCCCCTGGCCCCCTTCCAGTTGTCTCTATCTTGTTGCAGTTGTGTCTATTTGGTGTGCAGGCCATGAGGCCCAGGAAGGCTATATAAATAAGATGTATAAGATGTAAATGCTTTACAAGTTAAGGTTTCACAATGCCCCCCAAGAAAAACCTACTTGCCAAAAACCCACAACAATTTCCCACCCCGTTTCGCTGTGGTAAATAGTGGAATTGCAGTTGCCAGGCCTCTCGGCAGCCGAATCCATCCTGGCAAGTGATCTTCAGGCTGGGCCCAAAATGGGCCTGGGAAAACGGTGTAGCACCAGAGAGTGGACTTCTTTTGTAGATGGATTTTCCAATATAAACTATCCATTTTGGGGTATATCATGGTATATCCATTTTGGGGTACACCCATTTTGGGAAACCTCCATATCTACAGTTGATTAAAATTTTGGATTGAATTGGCGAAGGTCGATCTACAATTCAAAGCGGGATCTCAAGAGTCAAGCAGGATGGGGCAATGATCTGTTGATTTGCAACCTTGCCGGTCATTGGCCAAGTGCAGTTCTCAACAGACTTAACAGACTGTTGGCCCAGCTTAAGTCAGACCATGTTTCCAGTTGTTTCCCAACCTTCTCAACTGTCTCTGTGAGGGCTCCTTATGTACAAGAAGGCTTGAACATATGATGGATGAATGATGATACTCTCGCTCTCTCTCTCTCTCTATACCTCTATGCTTGTAGAAGACCAGCCAAGCCAGTGACATGTTTCCTTCTCCAACAGGACCATTTTTTGGAAAGCTTTCACTCGCAAGGCACGCAGATGGTGCTGCATCAGATCAGCAGTTTGACCTGCTCACAGGGTGACCCATCTGAGGAGTTTGTTGAGCCAGGATGGTTGGCAACCTGAACATGATTCATTGCGAACATAGGGACTGTATGGCACTGTTATATACCTACATTTTTGCATATTATATGAGTTAATATGCCTATGCCTTGAACATATGAGGTACCAGTACAGTCAAAACTCCGGTAGAACAGTTTCAAAGGTGAGTGCTCATTTATGTCTGGAAAGTGCACCAAACACTGTAAACCGACAGGGCCCCCCAAAAGCGATACCTATAATAGTGTATAATGTCCACATCTGAAACTGTTTTACACAAAGTTGCGTAATTACTCAGACTGGCCAGACTGATAGTATATAATACGTAGATCCCTCCTCAAGCAATGTTTTCTGTTTACAATATCTTATTTTGCAAAAAAAAAGCCATGCTAAACCACAAGCGCCCGCAGCAAAATTGGTGATATCCGTAGCGATACCTGAGAGATTCCCATTTCTTCCTTTCCTCTTTCCTTCCTTAGATGATCGCAGATGTGTGCCTCTATCATCTTCATAGGTACAAAACCTCAATAGTAGCGTTAGGCCCCTGCCCCAGAATGCAATATCCATCCCCTTATGTTCAAGCAAGGCAAAGACATAGCGTTCTTCCAAGTACTGTTACTGTATATCAATACGATGTAAAGTTTGTAATTGTGTTTTTTCTTCCCACACACCTTTTTTTTCGTGTTTCCAAGTACTGTTCCATATGTAGCCATCAACCTTCTGTTTCCAGGCTTCAGCTCACCGCCTGCTCCCTGCTTCACCAGCGCAAACCGAGGTACGGTTTTGAGTTGGCCATCAAGAGCAGTGAGTCTGGGGCTCGAGTTGGACGGGAGGATCCTTTGACTAGTTGGAAGCCCGGTGCTACATGTGGTAACATGTGTTAACTAGGTATTTGCTTCCAAGAGCTTTCCAAGAGCTATAGAGGCGATCTTAGGATATCTTAGGTACATGCAATATGTCATAGATGGTTGAGAGCAGTAGTATATCAGACATATTTTGTGGGGCAGTCTCTATTAATTCTGGTCTTAACATGTCTTAACCCCCTTCAAAATGAGGACAACCCAAAGAATCTGAACTCACCATGATTGCTATCTACGAATGCTCAGTGGGGTGATTTGATCCTCCAAGTATTGGCTACAGAACTTCAAGTTCAGATGATTTGCTGTGAACATTAGCAACTATTAGCAACATTTTTATTACTTTGGTGCTCCTTTTTGAGGCATGGCCATACCATACACAGGGCCTCGGCAGCTCCGCGATCTTCTGGGGTCCGTGGATCTGAAATTTCTCAATTTGGTTGATCAAAAGATGGTTGATTTACCCACTGGTGAACGTTTACATAGCAATGGAAAGATCCACCATTTTTAATGGGTAAATCCACTATTTCTATGGTCATTTTCCATTGCTATGTTAGTTTACCAGAGGGTATAACAATCATATTAACCAATTATTAACCCAACAAAGGACATCTTAGTTGGTATCTGATCTCGGAAATTCCCAGGAATTTCCTGGTAGCCGAGGTACAAGACTCATGCGGAAGAGAAGGTGCCTGGGCTCTGAACCCAACCTCTTTCAGCGTGCTGGTATCTCTCTCTATCTCTATATAATAATATATATATATACATACATATATATATATATTATATATATTATATATATATTATATATATTATATATATATATATTATATATATTATATATATATATTTTATTATATAATATATAAATGTATCATATATATATATATACATATCAATGTTGATAATAGATGCAGTAGATAATTGGTAGATATTAGACAATAGACAATCGATATATAATAGATAACATATGATAACATCATATGTATATGATACTGTATATACCATTTACAGTACATCCCAAAGTTGGGCATCTTCCTTTCTTTTCGGGTAAGTTTGCCACCTGACGCGGGTTTTGACACCTTGATATCCTGATTTCTGTAAAGTTTGTGAACCCCAAATATCCCAAATCACTTCAAGTCTTTAATTTCCTAAATGAATATCCAACATATCCACCTATCAAATTCGTCCATTCTGGGACCAAAAATCCGAAAAAACGGGTTACCAGTTGCAGCCGCAGGTAGAGACGGTCGAGGCGCGGCCTTTTTTGAGTGGTGCGGCCCCGAATCGCTGGGAAGTCCCTTCATCACTGCAGCGCTGGAGTTTTGGGCTCAACTCTGCCGTGAAACGCCCCGAACCGCTGCGTGCCATGAACCACGGTAACGGTAACGGAGATGTGGGCTGCAGGACAGTGGGCTGGGAGGACCGGGAGGTTGTTCAGCGGGGTTTTTCCCTGCAACATTATCCCACTCCTTGACCAAACCGCTCAGGGAGCAGCATTGTCACAGTCCAAAGCCAGGGGCCCTAGCTCCTGGTGTCTGCGTTCATCCTGCGATTGAGTTGAAATGGGGATGGCGATGACGGCTCCAAGACCCTTACCAGATGTGCGCGCCTATACAGCGGTCATTCGAGGCGGCAGTGCGAGTGCGTGAATTCAGGGGTGGATGTGGCATGGAACTTTGGGACTTAGATGGACTTGGTAGATGCACTACTGACATACTGCTACTAGTACTACCTATTTCATCCTATTTCTATCATATTTCCATCTATTTCTGGGTTTGTGGCAGATTAAAAGATTTGAAAGAGGAGTGTTGCCCAGGCCTCGTTCTGTTTCGCTATCCCATGCTGAGTTGCATCATCGTATTTCGTACCCTCTCTGTGACTCATCGTAAGATTGGAACATTGGGATTCTGACATTTCTGACATGTGGGTTTTTGGAGGATATCTCTGACATTAATTAGTTGGATATCTCGTGAGCAATTTCGATCATGCCAGATGTCCAGCTTTGACACCCAACCGGATCACAATGGTAGCAGGTGGACAATGGCCAGTGGCAGTGTCGCTATTGGAAGCTTTGAAGACGGAACAGTTGGAAGCCGATCTGATCGCCGCCCGCCACGTGAACAGGGGCTTCGGATGGACGATTTTGAGGAAACAAGCAATTATTGGATGGCCGGCCAAGTGCCGAATTTTACGTGCTGGGAAAGTTGAGCAGTCGGAACAATTTGTGTTTTTCTGTACTCTCGCATGGCAACTATTGAGTCTTGACCAGCTATAATTTGTCGGTTGGCGGATAGAAGCGGAAAGCAAGTCCTCTGTACCCGGGGAATCATTGCGCATACGTCAGAATCTTCGACGAGTATGATAGCGATAGCTTTACCACTTTATGTCTTATGTCTTTGCCTGTTTTATCCCAATAAAAATGTCGACTGCTTATTTTTTTCTAAAGATTTCTGAAGTACATAGTTATACATAGTTTGTTTTGTCGCTTTTCCTTGTGCCTCAGGTGTACAATGCAGTCATGAGCGCGTGTTCACGAGCATCTGCCTGGAAGCCTGCGCTGGCACTCTTGGAGTCGTTGGACATGGAAAGCCTTCAGAGCGATTTGCCGCTCGGTGTGATGCCATGGTGCATGGGATGGTTCCTCTTGGAGACACCAAATTGGACTGGGCAGCATCACTCTACAGCTAGAAAACCATGACCCAAAAGTCATCCCCAAATACCAACCAAATTATTGTGTTTTTTTTTTCAACAAAAACAAAAAAGACCGATCTGAGCTTACAGCAGGTTTCAGATAGCTTTTCCAAACTAGCCACCCAAACACACCGGCGTCGTTCATACCAGGATCACTTACAGCGTTTGCATTTCAGCCTGTTCCAAAGCTGATGAGTGGCGAAACGCCCTGCAGTTGCTCGAAGGACTGGAAGATACGGAGCCTTGGTATGGACCATTGGGAACCTTCGAAGATGGTAACGTTTTTTCTCCAACAACGCAGCCACCTCCAAGCTAAGAAACTGGGCGAAGACGGCGTAGGCGAATGCCATTTAATTTGAATGCAAGCATCACTCAATCAAAAGAACTCATGTAAAGGTGGCACAAAATTGAGCGGATTATTTTTTGCAGCAAATCTGGAGGCACACCCCATCAAGAAAGCGAAGATATGGTCCGGAAAATGGAATGAACGAGAAATGTGCAGGGAAGCTACGTGGCAAAATCCAAAACTCAACAAATGTGTAGATCTCAGGGCATTAATGGACAGCTGGTGGGATTGGAACAGTCGCATGGCAGCTCGCTTGAACCTTTGGACAAGCACTTTCAAAGTCATGGATTGATTTATGAAACCCGGAAAGTATCCAAACTGGAAAACAAAATCTGCCATGATTTCAACCCACGACGTTCTATGGATGGATCTATGCGATCCAACGACCCATGCCGATTGGGAGAAAAATTCACAAATAGCGCCAGCTGCGCTGGGGCTAAGCTGCATGGGTCCGGCAGCCAAAAATGCAGGATCTGGACTTGTGACTAATGGCTGCCACATTTCTTGGGGATAAGCGATGGCGATATACCTGTTATGGTGAGAAGATACTCTAGTTCTGATAAAAGGACTAATTGGTTCGCCTCGTTTAACACAAGAGATGAACATGTTTTCGGCATCACCGGCACGGATTACCAGTGGGCGACACGTCCCAGAACAAACAGAGCCCTTAGAAAAAATCCGAGTTTTGGGGGCGCAGGAGCATACAAATGATGAAGTCAACACCTTGTAATGGGGAAAAAAATCTTGCCCCGCTGGTATCTCCGCTGGTAACATTTTGAAGAGCGAACTACGTGTGGCCAACGTATGGACCAAATGGGCCTGCAATGACATGGCCAATGCAAGTTCTTCGCAGGCCGTTTGTTGGCGGGCTTCGAGGAAAGCCCAGGCAGTATCTTTTGCTAACTTGTCAGCACAAGAATTACCTTCGGTGAGAAAAGGATCTTGACAAAGGTCGTGTTTACCACAGTGGGCTTTTACTTTATACATCGCGAAAGGCTGGCTTCGCTTGTTGGCCACAAAATTGAACAAAACCCACAGATCCCGATTGTCAAGATTGGTGATACATTTATTTGAGAAGCCACAGCGTCGTAAGAAATTGACAATGTTGACCACATTTGCACAATCGGAATAAATTGTGATATTTCCGGCGCAGTGCCACAAAGCTGCGATGACTGCAAATATCTCAGCCCGTTGGCTTGTTTGATCAAGGCCTGGTAGGAGATAAGCTTTTGAGCATCCACACTTCGAAACAACGGCTGCTGCAGCAGATCTCATAGGTGCCCAAGAGTGATGAAAACAAGAGCCATCAACAAAAATTGGACTTTCAGGCTCAAAAGCTTGAAAATCCTCCATGGGAAGAACGGGCCTAGAGACAACTTCCTGCCGCCACTGGGTGATTAGTTCACCTTCTGGGAAAATGCCTGTACACCACGTTGTGTCATGGAAGAAACTTGAAGGTCGATTCCTTTCGTAGAGACCACACGATTTGAATAAATGAAGGTGGTCTTCTCTTTGGTCGCATCCTTCACACTTATCATCCGTAGTAATCCCTGCGGCTTTGCATCGTGCTCTAGTAAGAACACTGCCAGTCCTCAGGGCCCGCAGTAGGGACTTCGTGTAGGCATGATTCTTTGGCAAGAATTGAATTGCATCCTGCGCAAGTTGTCTGTCAGAAAAAGACGCCAAAGAAGCGTCTTCGAGAATGCGTGTTTTGGCTATATCGATGTGGAGATCAAGTTCGCCTTGCCAGTCGTGCCTAGCTGGGACACGGGCCAACAACATTACACGAACTGATCTTGCAAGTTCCTCGTGAAAATTCTTTTTTGATCCGTAGAGTAAATCAATCGGGGTGTCACCTGGCCGGGAAAACGTCATGCTTTCGTCTTCACGGAACGACCACTTGAGCCGGCTGAAGACGACAGCCAGAACATTGGCCGCTCCATTGGAATTTGCTGAGCAAGTCTGACGTTTCTCTTTGGCGCTGCTCACGAGCCGAGCAGCAGCTGCGGGATCCTTAAAGGCCAGGTCCCTTAGTCTAGATAAAATTCGTTTGAAAGCGGCAGCTTCAGGATCAACAAAAGGGTCATGACCAGTGGCCAAAATAAGATAAGGGGACCTATTGGTTTTTAAGCCTTTTGACAACGCCTTAACCGCTGCCTTTCTCAATTTGTCAAGCTTCGTATTGTTTGGTAATTGGCATTCAACACCGTGCAACCACTTAGAATGGGCAACAGAATGGATGAACCCCGTCATGTCATGTTCATTACATGGTAAACAAGACAGTTTCTTCAGGGAACGAAAAGCTGAGTCTACCCGAGAATTTTGGAATGCTGCGGATTTTAATCGGTCAACACGGTGGGTAAACCCAAGTGATTTCGCAACTGTCTTCCTTGATACTTTGACCCGGACACGCCGCAAGAATTCTTCTGCTTTCTTTGTTTTTCTGGCTAGCAAGAATGTTTTATCGAAGTTTACTTTTTGTCCTACTGCGGTGTCATAAGCAACAAGTTCATTGAATGCCTTTTCAAGATCGGAGGAAAACAAACCCTTAGCCCAAATTTTCACATCATCAATAAAGCATGCTGATGAAACTTTGGGGTACAATCGCTGAAGATGCGCTGAAAGGATTGCATACATTGAATTGACCATAATGATGCTCATAGAACAGCCTTGCACAGCAGCATTTGTTCCCATTACTTTTCTACCATAGGCATTCCCAAGTTTGAAGATTTTTACCTGGTGGTGATAAAATGCGAGGGTGGCCCGAAAGATTTGGTCAGGGATACCCAGAGAAGAGGCCAAACCCATGGCTAATTCTGGTAAAATAAGGTCAAAGCATTTGGTTCGATCAATAAAGACTGCAATGGGGTCATCCCGGAAATTATTTTCGTGGAAGTCCAATGATAATGATAATTCAGATTCGAAGGCCTGCCTATTCGGAATTCCTCCTAATAAGTTGTTGGGGAAAACTTGTGCCATCCATGGGGCAAGTTGTCGGAACCTCAACGAACTCCAAATTCCATAAATGGCAGAAGATACCCCGATTGCTCGCACATTTTGGGGGGAGGAAATGGGTGCTCCTTTGGAAATAGCGGTGACAGCAACCATCCTTAAAACCTTAGGCCAAACTCCATAGGCTTCAGCAAGTCGCATGACAAAAGTAAACCCAACCCAACCACATGGGGGTAATGCCTGGAGTTCCTTAGTTTTCCACCCATCGAATCCGCCGGCCTTACATTCACTTTTTCTCTGAAACAGCTTAAAAACATCATGATGATCAATATCTGGGATATTTGCAGGGTGATGAAGTTGATCAATGGCACCAGAATATGTGCGTAAAGCACTCGAAGATGGTAACGTTTTGGAACCATTGGGATGGGTCAAAACCTATTAATTGTTATAGTCACTATATTCATGATTGTCATTATTATTGGGGACATGAAGCCGCTGGACGATTTTAGCCATGTGGATTCGATTCGTCGTAATCCTGAACAGTTCCTATCGAAAGACATGTTTCTTCAGCTTTTACACCCGCCTTGTTGCAGAGAAGGGTCTAGGTAAGGACCCCGAATTGCAGAGCAGATCCTTTTCAGACCCATCCTCAATGAGGACCAGCAAACAGACCTATGGATCTACAGTGCGGCGATCAACGCTTGCGGAAGGGGTGAGCAGTGGCAGCAGTCTGTAGCACTGTTATCAAAGATGCAGCAAGATCAGCTAGAAGCAGACATCATAGCATACAGCACAGTGATTAGCAGCTGCGCCAAGTCTGGACAGTGGGAGCAAGCTTTGATGTTTTTGGGAGCAATGCAAGCTAACCATGGCTTCAGTAAGTTTTCTGATTTATCAATCTTTACCAGAAGTGTTTGATGTTTTTTGCTTGTGTGCCATACTTCCCCATGGGGTACTTGCTAGTCGAGCCGTGATTCATCCGCCCCGAGACGACTTCACGGTGAGGCGAAGACAAGAACTGCAGGGCGACGTGGTGACGCAGAACTCGATCTTGAATGCCCTTGCACAGGTCCAGCGATGGGAACGTGCCATGGACTTTCTGGAAGCTTCTGGATGTGACCAGGTGTGGCGCTCGTGCGAAATGGTGATTGTTTGTAGCTGGGAACCACCCAGTGGAAATTCAATTCATGTGCACCATTCTTCACCTAGTGGACCAGACGACAAGTACACGATCTTGGCTCAGAATCATGCGCAATGTTACGGTAAATTGATGTAAGATACACATAGAATAGAATGCATACATAATATATATATATTATAATTATATATATATATATTATAATTATATATATATATATACACGCGGTACATGTCAAAGCATTTAAATGATGCTAAACTGCTAACCGACTGGATCTTGGATCATTTTGAAGTAGCCAATTTTGTGGGAGAACCACCCAGTCGGTAGCTTCCCACCTGGCAATGCAGGTGGATGGCTTTGCCAAAAGCGCCTTGATCAAGGGTGCCACAGCTGGTGCAACGCCTGGCAACTGGTCACTTGGATTCCGTTAGGTGAAAGGTTGAAGGGATTTGAAGGGCAAGAACACAACGATACAACTTGCTTTTGGAATCTTTTGGATACTTGGCCCTTTTCAAAAACTCCGGTGGTATTCGGGTTCAGTATCAGATGACAGATGCCACATAATCAGCGGCAAAAAAGCCCTCGAAGTCATCTTCCTTTCGCACCCAGACCTTGAAACAACGGGCCAGAGAACCGCGAGGCAAATAGCCTTGGCACTTCACCAGCCATCCATGACTGGGAGAGCTGGTGTCCTGGGCAGCTTCAATGCCCTGCTGGCCTCGAGCTCTGGCGACATCTGGCATCGGGGCTTAGAGGTGCTGAGGATGTTGAGGTTGAACTCTCTGGAGGCTGATGAAGTCACAGGTGGGGAAGGGCTCATGAAACCGATTGGCAGGCACGAAATCTTTAAGGCGATGTGTTGCCCACGGTAAATGGAGGAATTTGCGGTTTTGAGGTGTTTTTGATTCCGCAAACAGATGGCGTCAGGTTTCTCCCACTACTTTTGAAGGGCCCATCGAAGATATTGAAGGGCTTTTCCTTTCCTTCATCAACATGTAATGTATCAAGTTGAGGCAAGATGTGGATCCCCCGCACGCAGGCAACACCATGGTGACAACTTGTGTTCGTTGGCAAGATGCCTTCAGATGTCTCTTCGGACTTTCATGGCTCCTTGGCGAAACACGTGTCTAGTTGCAGCGCCTTGGGGATCCTTGATGGTTCGGTCCATGATGGATCCCGGGTTCACCCTGATGCCCGAGGCTGAAGCACAACGTCAAGGGCTACACGAGCGCCCTGGAGCAGTGCGCCACAGCGGAAGAGGACCGTTCCGGATGCTGATGGGAACGGGTGACCTCAAAAAAATGCTTGGAGGAAGCTAGCATTGTGGGAAGTATCCTTGCCGCTAGGAAGCGTTTTTTTTCCCACCAGAAAATGAGGATTTGGCAACAACAAAGGGATTGTGCAAATAACAAGATCCAAGAAGCTGGTTTTAACATGGTCATGATTGATTTTGCCATGTTTTTTACTTGGCGTTTTACTTGGCATTCAGTCAACAAGAGATGGAGATAACAACAATGTGGACATAGGCAAGGTTGATGTGGTGACCTGGGAGTTCAGAGACCAATCGTTACAGCTACATAGATATGGCTATGGATCAATACTAATGCCAGTACATAACAGTACAATATAGTACATAGTGATATAGTACATAACAGTAGAATATAGTACATAACAGTAGAATTTAGTACGTAACAGTAGAATATAGTACGTAACAGTAGAATATAGTCCCATAACAGTAGAATATAGCACAAAACAGTAGAATAGATAGTACAGTATATAACAGCACAATATAGTCCACATATATATATAAATATCATTTTGACATATTTTACTGGGAATGAACATCCATAAATCCCAGTAAATTCATCACCAGGATGAAGTGCAGCCTTGGCAGTGGGCGGTGCAGCTGATTGGCCCCTTGGTTTCACCAAACTGGGTAATTTTTTCGCTGGCCTCACTGAAATCATGGTTTAACGGTTTTATTTAAGGGGCATTCTCCCAATATCGCCAAACTTCAACTTTTTTTTTGGTGAATGATTATATATATATATAATTCGCCCAGACCAATGTTTCGGCAATTGGGAACATCATGAATACTAACTGTTATGCATGAAATTTATGGTTCACCAATGTCAACTGGGAAAACCATGAACACCAAATTCATCCAATTTTAGTATAATTCTTCCTGGGATTAACTGGCAAAAAATCATGAACACCAATTTCACGACCAGTTCTTCCGATTATTGAATGGTGATTGTCCAAATTGCTCCAAATTGGCCTAGGGTACCATTCATCACCCCTCAGCCTTGCAGCTGAGGTGTATTGAACGAACGACAGGTGCGCCAGGATACATTTGGATCATTTTGTATCAATGATGCAGGGATACATTTGGATCATTTTTAAAGATCAGAGGCCCACAAATCCTCCAACAGGTCCGATGTTGCACCCTTGATTTTAGGAGTTGTAGATTCGTCACAGCCGTGGCCAAACAGAGGTACAGGCTGATGTTGGCTTCTGGACACTCAGCAAAAACTGGATGAACATCCATTCTGAATGGCAGGAGACATCAGGAGCCCCTCTTTGGGTGCTCAAAACATCAGTCCCCAATTGTTAGTTTCTTAATTTCGCAGTAGAGATTACAACTTTTGTTGACCAACCGCCATCCCATTAGTTGATTTTGACCCCAAATCATGCCAGCAGTGGGCTGGGCCGGGCCCAGGGGGCCCCAAGGACTGTGGCCAGCAGCCGCTTGGGCCGCAGATGTTGGCAGCAGATGCTGGATGTGTTGGAGACCGAGTCGCTGCCCAACTTGGCTCGCGAAAGTCCCTGGCAGGTGCGGCGGTGCGGCACTGTGAAAGTAGCGTTTCGATAGCTAGGTCCAATATGGTCCAATGTCCCGAGCATCGCTGGTGAAACCTCGGGGTTTATCATTGTTTATCATCATTCTCTGAGATTAGAGGTTCAATTTCTGGGATGCTGGGAAAACTCATGGGATGCTTGACCGTTTGGTTTGCTGATGTTGGACGTGTTGGAAATGGGCAGATACAAGCAATGAAGTATCCAATCCCACGATAGTTGCGTCGGCCGGGCCCATCATAGCTGGTTGCTATGATGTTGAGTATTTACGCTGTCGATAATCCAGGGATGTTTATAATTATTTACCCTCTGGTAAACTAACATAGCTGTTGAAAATCCACCCATTTTTAGTGGGTAAATCAACTATTTCTATGGCCATTTTCAATAGCTATTTTGACATAACCAGAGGGTACATTTAATGGGTGGACATGGCAACAGAAATCATGTTCAAATTCCATGGCAACAGAGATCGCACAAAGGCCGCCGGCCTGGGTTGGTCGGGCTTTGTTGCGTCTCTCTCTCTCTCTATCATAGATACAACATATGTACTTATAAGTTCATCCATCCAATATTAGTATATATATTATATATTAGTATCATTTATCCGTCAGACTTATACATATAACATCAAATAGCACATTAGTCTATGAATTATCACATTATATGATTTATCCATCATATTCACTCTATGAAGTCTATGAATTGGGTGTGAATCAGTGAATCATCACATTCTCGGCCAGGTGTCCTTGCGACTGTTGGATCAGGACTTCTCCGCTGGAAGTCCATTTCACTTGGCCAGCCACAATGGTGCGACTTGGCGAAGCAGAAAACAATAGAAAACAGGGGGATTCAAGCATAGGAAAATGGTGATTTAACATGATTTAACTATATTTAACCACGATAAATAGTGATTTGAACGGGATTTGATATGATTCAACCATTTTCAACCAGCCAAACACGGTGGATCTCAGCTGTGATGAAAAAGAGCTGTGGGGGATGGCAGTGGAACGAGGCCATGACTGCCTGCGTGGAAGCTGAAGAATGGCAAGTGGCGCTGGAGCTCTTCCGGACTTTGGAGGACGACGGGGTCGGAGATTCGCCGCTGGCGATCCCAAGAGGGATCCGATTGGTTCGGGTTTGGTGGGTACCGGACCCTGCAGGAGGAGCAGCTTCCAGACTTGTGGAGTTACAGTGCAGCCCTCACTGCATGCAAAAGGGCTTTGCAATGGCAGCAGTCGGAAGACCTGATGTCGAGGACCTGGACCTGCCGAGTTCGTTTCAACCTTTTCACATGTCTCATCATTTCTCATCATTTCTCCGTGTTCTCCCAAAAAACATGTAGTTCTCCATCACCATCATAATAATAATGATAGTAATAATAATAATAATGATAATAATGATAGTAGTAATAATAATAATAATAATATATAATAATATATAATAATTAATAATAATAATAATAAAAATAATAATTAATAATAATAATAATTTTAATAATAATAATAAAAATACTACTAATAATAATCATCATCATCATCATCAACCCCTTGAGATATTGTTGGATAGGGATCAAGCATCATCAACCTCCTGTGGATAGATTTTTTTTTGGATGTCAGCCCATAAGTCGCCCGGTCAGGATCATCAACCAGCAGCTGGAAGTGGATCTGGTGACCTACAGCGCAGCTTTGAGTTGCTGTGCCGAAAGCAGGCGTTGGGAGGTGGCCTTGCAGCATCTTGGCACGGCGCTGACGGGGGGACTGGGGAAATGGCTCACCGAAACGGGGTTACATGTTGGGAACATGGCTAAAATGCGATGAACATACGATGTTTATATATATATATGTATATTGTGTGAATTCTTTTGAGTTCTGGAAATTTTAGAAAACTTTGGTCATCATTAGTCGTCTATTTGATGCGTTGCACACACCGCCTGAAAATGCAAATGCATCGACAGTACTGGCAGTTTGAGAGCGAGAGAGAGAGAATTCGGATGCACTCCACTGCACTTGTAGGTACTTTGACCAGATGCAGAAGTCCCGCTTGCAAGCAGATGCTACTAGCTACGACTCTCTGATGAGTGCACTAGTGACTAGTAGTGAAGGGCCAATGAAGAGTTGAGAGGCTATCGGCCTCAGACCTCGCAGTGCACGCAGCTGTGCAGTTGCGAGAGAAAGTGCGTGGAGCGGCGGTAATTTAACATAGCTATGGAAATCACCATTTTTCATGGGAAAATCCACTATAAATTGCCATTTTCAATAGCTATGTTAAATTACCAGAGGGTACCTTTCTCAATCTTCCTCAGTTTCACCCAGGATTCTAAAAAAAAGCCCCAATCATGATCAATCATCCCAACCTGAAATAAGATGAAATAGATATCATCCCAAACTATTGCTGGAAGGCCAGCGACGATGCAGGCGCTTTTTTCCGCAGATGCTGGGATCTTCCATCACTTTTGGTGAAGTTGAGCATTCCATGGAGAAAATGATGATCATCCATTGGAAATGGGGGTACGTGGATATTGAAACATATTGAAACCATATATTCTCAGAATCCATATATGATGATTCCATATGTTTTCACACAAACCCACAGTGCCACAGGATACAACGGGAATATTTGGGAATTTGTTGCCTTCGGATGGGCAGTGCAAAGGGCCATGCGTCGTGACCAAGCACTGGCGCAGGTGACGAGGAAGAAGATGCCACCGAGAAAAATGGCACACGGCAGGGGCCCTGCCCGATGGAAGATGGGGCTTTCCGAAGCTTTCCCATTTTCCACAGCTGAACCTGCCCAAGCTCGCAAGCTTTCATCCTCGTAGCACGACACAACATTCACACATCATTTTCAGCCTCACGTAACTTCAACACAATTTTTATCAAACACTTCATCAAAACGAGGATTCATATTCCAGAAGACTTCCACAAGCACCACTGGTTTCCACTGATCAGAACAACTCACCGCAAACCAATTGACCAAGCTAATAGGCTCATATCATAAGAATCATCACGTGAGAACCAGATTGTGGGCCACATATGTGAAATGATACGAAACATATATAGAACAATATAGAACAATATAGAACATCATAGAACATCATAGTAAAATCATAGTAGAATCATCAAGCATCGTGAGAGCCTTTTTTTTTTCGGTGTTCATTTTGTTTTCGCCCGACTCTGCGATGAATGCTGTGTGCTCCCCACGCTGCACCTGCCACGGCCACGGCACCTGCATCTCTCATGCGCCCGGTGCAGCTGAAGCGCTGGGTGCCTCGGAGCCCGTGGAGCCCTCCGAGCCCTTGGAGCTCCTGGCCGTTGCTGGCGGCCTGGGGAAGGCCGCCAGCAAGGGACCAAGTGACCCTGAGTTCAACGTGTTGATCCAATGTTGATCCAATGTAGCCAACATTGGCACTTGCAAGTTTGGTTATGATGATTATGATTATATATATATATATAGTTCTTGTTGCTGCCATGAACATGGCTAGTATGCAGTCATCATGCCAGACTCAATACTAAATACAATCCAACTTAGTGGATCTTAGTGGTTTGTCTTGGGATTACCATGGGTTTACGCATGCTTTACATTGGATTCCCACATTCCTCCAGATCACGGCAGGCGGCAGCTCCGGTCTCACGGTGCGGCGCCGCGGACTGCCGCCGTTCACGCCGCCCAGACCGTGGGCGCTCCGCCGCAGGAGTTGACCCAGACGTTGACAGCGGCACCGCCTGGGTTGGTGAAGGCGCTGATGCAGGTGCCGGTCTCACGGTGTGTCTTCCCATGATATTTGGTCATCATTGGTCATCCACACATTGGCATGTTTTTTTTTTTGAGGATTCCTCAAAAAATGACCATGGTGATGAAAATGGATGAAAATGGATGAAAGTGTGTTGAGAATTCCCCTAAATACCAGTAGTACCGCACAAGGCGGTGGCGGAAGTTTCAAAAATAGGAAACCTATAGGAGAAGTTGGTTGTTGTGAATCAGGGATGGCAGAGCGAAGCCACTGATTGACCGAAAGGTGGTTGGAGTTGTGTTTGCTGGAATGGTTGCAATGGTTGCAGTGGTCACCTCACCCACAACTGCTGGATGTAGTGTGATGTACTGCAACTGTAGTTGTAGTTGTAGCGTAGTGGAGTTGTAGTTGTGGTGTAATGTAATTAGTGTAGTGTAGTTGCAGTCATATGGTTGTAGCTGTAG